GAAGGGCATGGAATGGCTAATATTTTTTGATAAAAGAAAATGTGGTGTATATACACATAGTGGAGTATTATTCAGCCATAAAGAAGAATTAAATCATGTCATTTACCAGACAATGAATGAAAGTAGAGGTCATCATGTTAAGCCAGACTCAGAAAGTCAAATATGCATGTTTTCTCTCATATGTGGAAACCAAAAAAAAAAATTTTAAAGATAATATGGAAATAGAAGGGAGATGCAGAAGAGGAAGCAGATTGGAAGAAGGAAGGAAATGGTGAGGTGAAATGATCAATGTTCTGTGCTTGTATTAATATGCCACAATGAAACATTATTCTGTGTAACTAATACTCACTAATAATTTTTAGAAAGGACTGCTTTTACTCTGAAATGTTCACCCCTTCCCCAAACTGCCATGCCAAAAAGATTTTTTTTACCAACAACTTCTGTAGTCAGGAAAAGAGGGCCTGAAATAGATAAGCACTTTCCTGAGCATTCAGGATAACTTCCCAGGAGGCTCGCTTCTGTCTCACTGCACAGGGAACAGCAGAGAAATCATCAGAGCCAGACCATCTAGAGTCATCTAGGGAAAAAGAGGGTAAAGGGCTCACAGTGACTGGTGGTTGGATCTGGCCAGAGAGACCAGCCAACCACATCTCCCAGCAAACAGTTGAGCTGCTCACTCCCAGGAGCGTGGTTGGCAGTTCTGCCTGGGTGGAGTCCCAGCCAGCCACCCACCTAGCCTTGCATCCCAACCTGAGGCTCCTAAGGCAGGGAGGACAGCCAGAGACTCTATGTTTCTGCAGAGCATAACCTGTGGCTCTGCCTGACGTGGGAACCTGAACTGGTCCAGCCTATGACCCTGTACAGGAAGGGAGATAACTTGTGACCCTGCACGACTGCAAGGCACAGTGTCTGGATCTACCCAAATAGAGAGCACAAGGAACAACCCTAAATATATTCAGTGCCCACTTTTAGGCCCCTTCCAGGGAGAAAGCAAACTCATTACCCCCACATTTCTATGGGACATAACTTCTTTCCCTGTCTGACCACAGAGAAAATTGACTGGACCTACTACAGTGAGGAATTCAACCAGTGACCCTGCACAACCATAGGACATAGCTCAAGGTCATACCTAGGCCTAGATTCCAGCCTATAGACTCATACAACTGTATGTCATAGCTATGTTCTCATCTAATCACAGAGGCCAGAATTTGGTCCCACATGAATGCTGAGTTCAGCCACCAGCACCATGTAGCTGGGCAATATAAGCCTGGAATCCTACCATACCAAAGGTAATTGTGGAGCCAAGCCTGTGGACTTGCCCAACTATAGAGTTATCCTACTCTTTAAATCTTAAAGTTTACTCATCACTGAGACAAAATACCCAACAACCAAAACTTAAAGGAGGAGAACTTTATTTTGGCTCACATTTTAGAAGTTTTAGTATGATCAGCAAGCAGCATGGTGGGAGGGTTTGGATGGAGGAAAGCTTCTCACCTTATGGCAGACAGGAAGCAGGGAGATGAATGGAGGAGCCAGGAAGGGAGACAAACCCTTCCCATGATCTGCCTCTTCTGACCAGGCCCTACTTCCCAATACCATGCCAGCTATAGCAGCCCATAATCCAATCAGCCTCCCTAGGCCTCCACCTCAAAGCATATGAGGCTTTGGGGAGACATACAGATATAAACCATAGCAAGAGGCCAACTAGTAGTGGCACCTGGCCAAGGAGGTGATTGTGGAGCAGGCTAGCCACCCTGCCTGACAGCACAGCCCTGCCAGTAGTCTCTCCTAACATGGAGCCTACTGAACATGGAGCCCAGCCAGCAGCTCTGCCTGCCAGTGAAGCCCAGGCACCGGTCTTACCTTACCACAGAACACAGATAGTAGCTCCATTTGAGATCAGAGCACAGGCAGCAATCCTGTCCAAATAGAGAACCCAAAAGCAAATCCTGGCTGGCTATGACCATTACCTGCTGGACCACTCTGAACTAATCCAGATTAATCACTGAAGGTCCTTGTAAAGTCTGCCTATGAAGCTGGAAACTGTGGCCATTTTTTTCAAACAGATGCCAAAGCAAAGATATGAGAATCATGAAAAATCTAGGAAATATGATGCCACCAAAGAAAATTAATAAAGCTCCAACAATAGAGCCTAAAGAAAAGGACTCATCACAATTAAATTCTCAAAAGTCAAAGAAAAGAACTCTGAAAGGAAAGAGACTAAAACACCAGGCATGATGGTGCAAGCCTGTAATCCCAGAACCCAAGAAAACAAAAAATCAAAAAAACAAAAAAAGAAAGAGACTCATCACATTCAAGGAAGATCCCATAAGGCTACAAGGAAATGTTTGCCTAGTATATGCTAGGCCCTGGGTTCAAGTTCCAGTACAAAAAAAAATCTATACAGAGATTTTACACCAGAAAATTTGCAGACAAGGAGTTAGTAGAAAGACATTTGCAATATATTGAAAGGAAAAACTCTGAAAACTGAGAATGGTATAATACTAGCAAAGTTGTACTTCAGAATGAAGGAGAGGTAGACTTTTGCAGACAAACAAGAACTGAGGCAGTCCATCAACATCAGACTTGCCTGAAAAGAAAGGCTAAAAAGAGTTCTGGGAAGATGGCAGAGCAGTAAGCAGCAACAAATCAGGTCCTCCAAGATTCAGAATCCAGATACTAGAAAGTGACAACTTGGGGAAGAGAAGAAGGAGGGAGGTGGATCCCCACGACCCAGGGAGGATCTGAAGGAAAAATTGAAACCATCAGAGAAAGTGAGGAGACAGACCACAGCACAGAAAGAGGAGGCAAACTGCACTCCCCTGCCCCAGCTCGTGGTGTGACAGAGGAGTACGGAATCTGCAGACGAGTAGTAAGGGTGGGCGAGTCCAGAGGGCTCCAGGGAGAAACACACCAGTGAAGAGGAGCAGTGGATGATGTGCTCTGCAAGTCAGTGAATGACTCCAGTCCAGGCTCACAGACATGTTCCCTGGAGTTGGTGCTTGGTTGGACGTCTTTTTAGGGAGGGGCCAGCTGAACCCCAGACTCAGAGAAGCTGTGAGTTGGCTTTGTTGCAGGGCTCCCAGTGTTGAAATCCCACAGCAACTGGGTGATGGATGGCCGTGGGAGACGTCTAGGGTCTGGGAGCTGGGGACGGGCCAGTGAGGGACACCCAGAGTGTTGCTGGCTAAAGACTCAGGCCCAAGCTCCACAGCTGGGGGTCAGGATCAGCCTGAACTTCTGTGGAGCTGAAGGCACTAGAATCGGAGCCTCATCCCAACCCCACTGCAGGCTTGCTGGGATTATCCAGCCCGCTGACCTAATCCTACTACAGACTTACTGGGATTACCCTGCACAGAAATGAGCTCTGATTTGGACACTACCAGATTCCAGAAGATAACCACAGGCTTAAAATCACAGAGAACTTTTTTTTCTTTTTTTTTTCATTTTCTTGGGGGAGGTTGTTGATGTTGTTTTGTTCATTTTTTTTCTTGATTGTTTGCGTTTGTTTTTTCGTGGGTGTGAAAATTGTTTTTAGTTTTTTTGTTTTGCTTCATTCTTGTTTTTATTTTATCTCTTTTCTTCTCTCTTCACCAGTTTCCTGAAGCTTGAGTGATCTTCTTTCACCCTTCAGCCTTCTTTCTAATCTTTCTCTTGTTATATTTCTCTATTTTTCCCTCTTACCACTTTTAAATTCTCTCCCATGAGGGTAAAATCACTCTGTTAAGTGGACTTTCACTGTATATAATTTTCTGATTGGTTTTAAGTTATGTAACTTAAACTTAAGTTATATAAATTCTGATTGGTTTTAAGTTATATTGGTTTTTGTTATATAACTATAAAGCTTGTAGCTCTGGTTAAAGGTGGCAAATTAAGTTATCACAGTTTGTCATTTTCTGGACTGTGCTTGAAGCTATTGTTATCACTGGTTATCACTACTTTAGCCAAAGTGACATAGTTGTTGTTCTTCCTTGTATGCCAGTACCGAAATTGTCTGGGAATCATAAACAATATCATAGCCTACCATAAGCAATTTACAAACATCAACACAGAAAACAAATCTTAAAAAATAGAAAATGAGAGGGGCCAGGGATTTAGCTCAGTGGCGCCACACCTGCCTTGCAGTTCAATCCCTGGTACCAAAAACAAGAAAATGAGAAAACACAGAAGCAAGATGCAACCCCAGACCTCCAGCTTGCCCAAGGAAAATCCAGGGGGGATTGAGGTGGAAGAAATCAAAAGAAATGCTAAAGAAAGTTCTTTAAGTTGAAAGAAAAGAATGCTAATTAGTAATATTAGAAACATGAAACTAGTAATAAAAAGTACAGAGTAAAATTCAGATTTTTCTGAAGGCAGTAGGTAAATCAGAAAAAAAAAGTTAAAACTATTAAGTGACATGAACCACATGGCACAATGGTTCTCCCCCCTCACTCCCCACCTCTACAGAAATCCAACTAGCAACTATCCACAGACAAATAATACCCTGAATATTCCAGAACTTGAAAGTCAGGCTGATCCTTTGGATCACAAAACCAGAAGAGCTATGATTCAACAATAAGAGGAATGGATCTCTTTATATTGCCTACTACAAACCAGCACAGTGCTACAGATGGAGAATTTCTCAGTACTCACGATTTCTATGCTTGCAAAAGGGAGCTGAAGGCAGACATTCTGCTTCCCCATCATTCTGGGACCCTTCACCAGAGGCCTATTCTGTCTCATCTGATGGGAAATGGGCGGCGGGGACAAAGAATAGGACGGGATCTCAGCAAAAAGCATATGGATCTCTGAGGTTGCTCTACATTCTAGCCAAGCTCCACCACACCAGAAATCAGCCAACAGCATCAGGCTGCAGGCAGCACAGTCAGTGAGTTTGCCAGGCTTGAATCCCCAGCTGGCTTTTCTGCACATTCCAGACGTTTTTGTTGAGTCTTTCCTGGTTGATTCTAACCAGATGATTCTAACCTTCAGTCTTGACTGAAGTCAAGACTCCAGGCAGGGTGGTGCTGGCCGTAGCAGTCCTGAGCTTAGGGCTCCCTCTAGGGGAACAGTGGTGAACTCCAAGTAAATTTTGACGTTTGGTTAACAGTGTGCTAATAGGGTCCTTCTAACAATGAATCACGATAATATAAAATGTTAATGGAGTACACCAGGCATGGCAGTGCACACTTGTAACCTCAGCATTTTGCAGGCAGAAGAATTGCAAGTTCAAGCCCAGCTTGAGCAGTTCAGCAATTAGGGAGACCTTGTTTCAAAAATTAAAAAAAAAAAATTAAAAGAGTTCGAGTATAATTCAATGTACATGCCCTAGGTTGAATCCCCAGTACCGGGAGAGTAAGAGAAACTTGGTGAGAGTCATCTGGTAAATTCCTGTAATATACTTGTAACTTTTCTGTAAATCTAAGACTATTCTAGATTATAAGTTTATTAAAAACAAGAAAGAATTCAAGCATACTCTATAGAAATTGATCTCAATTCTAAAATTGAAGTGGAATTGAAAAATACCTAGAATGGTGAAGACAATCTTGAGAGAAATCACAAAGTTTCAAGACTTATGGCAAAGCTAAAGTAATAAGACAGTGTGGCAGTTGTGTAAGAATACATAAATAGATCAATGGAACAATAAAGAAGCCAGAATTAGATCCACATATATGCAATCACTTGAATATTAGTGAGGATGCCCATGTAATTTAATGAGGCAAGGAAGGGACTTTCAATATGTCATGCTGGAGCAACTGGGTATGTACATAGAAAACAAATAAATCTTGATCTGTACTCTACACCATCCAAAGTGGCCCATAGACATAAATGTTAGGATATTAAGGTTTAACATATAAAATTTCTTGAAGAAAACAAAAAATTTTATAAATGTATTTTCAATCTAAAAGTAAGTGAAGATTTCTTGATCAGGAAACAAAAGGACTAAACATAAAATAAAAATTATTAAATTGGATTTTACAAAGTTTAAAACTTTGGCTCATCAAAATACATCACCAAGTGAGAAGGGGGAAATATTAACAATCAATTTACCTGACAAGTGGTGTATCTAGAATATATAAAGAACTCTTACAAATCCATAAGAAAATTCATACAGCTAGAACTTTAAGGGTGAGTGGGCAAAAAAAAATTGAACAGACATCTTACAAAAGGAAATATAGTAGTCCTCCCTTATCCACAGTTTTGCTTTGCATAGTTTCAATCAACCATGCTTTAAAATATTTAATGGAAATATCCAGAAATAAGCAACTCATAACTTTTAAATTTCATGGTATTCTGGAACTATGATGAAATCTCCCAGTGTCCTGCTCCATCCTGCTTAGATATGAATCACTCTTCTGCCTAGTTACCCACATCTATGTGATGCCCTCTGATTAGTCACTGATCAGCCACTTCAGTTATCAGATTGACAGTTGTGACATTGTAAGCTTGTAGTCAAGTAACTCCTATTTTGACTATAATTGAAGAGCAGTGATGATGGCAATGTGAATATGTCAAAAAAAAGTTATAAAATTGTTCCCTGGAGTGAAAAGATGAAAGGTTTTGACTTAATAAAAAATTAGATGCTGGGGCTGGGGATTTAGCTCAGTGTTTTCGCTGCCTGCTGCTCAAGCGCACGGACCCAAGTTCAATCCCGGTTACCAAAAAAAAAAAAAAATTAGATGCTGAGGTTGCTAAGATCTACAGTAAAAACAGGTCTTCAACTCATGAAATTGGGAAGAAGGAAAAAGAAATTCATATTAATTTTGCTCTTGCATCTCCAACTGCAACTGTATGAACAAAGTGGGTGACAAGTGCTTAGTTAAGATGGAAAAGGTATTAAATTTGTGAGTGGAAGATATGAACCAAAAATGTGGCAACGATGTGTAGCTCCAAGAAAGCATTGCTCCCATAAAAATACTTCAGCAAGAGATTCCCCTGAAAAAAGTGGTATCAATCAATTAACACAGACTCAGAATAGTTTTGTACTGAAAAATATAAATATTACTAGAGAGGCTGCATCTGCCAGTGAAGAAGCTGTTGCCACCTTTCCTGCCAAGTTGAAGTTGATTAAAGAGAAAAGATTCTATCCAAAGAAGGACGTCAACTGTGATGAAACCAAGGTCCTATGGAGGAAAATGTCCAGTAGAAACTATGTTCATAAAAATGCAAAAGAGGCACAAAGGAACAAAATATAAGAGAGATTAAGGGAGGATTCCATATTTATCACTGTTTTAGACATCCACTGAAAGTCTTGGAATGTATCCCCAAACGTAAGGGACTACTACTGAGTTTTCACTTTCTGTGGTTTCTATTACCCACAGTCAACCATGAGCTGAAAACGTTGCATGGAAATTTCCAGAATTAAGCAGTTTATAAGTTTGAAATTTCTTGCAGTTCTAAGTAGAGTGGTGAAATCTCATGCTGTCCTGCTCTGTCCTGTCCAACACATGAATCATCTGTCTGTCCACCAGATCCATACTTGTATATGTTTCCCACCCATTAGTCACTTAGCAGCTCTCTTGGATATCAGATTGGCTGCTGTGGTGTTGCAATGCTTGTTTTCAAGTAACCCTTATTTTTTACTTAATAATAGTCCCAAAGTGCAAGAGTAGTGGTGTTGTTGGGCCAGGGATGTCGCTCAGTGGCTCTGCATCTGCTGGCAAGCACAAGGTCCTGAGTTTGATCCCCAGTACCACAAAAAAAAAGAAAGCGAGAGTAGTGGTGTTGGAGTTGGGGTACGCAAATGAGAAGCTGTAAAGAGCTTCCTTTAGCTTCTGTCCAACCCCTCCTGGCCCAGAGGAAGGGACTTCCAGGCCGCCATCCATCCCGCTGCTCACAGCCCAGAGGAAAGGGCTTTGGGGCAGCCATCCATCCTGCCACTCCCAGCCCAAAGGTAGGGGTTTCTGAGCCGCCCTCCCACTGCTCCTGGTCCAGAGGAAGGGGCCTCCTGTCACCATCCCTCGCACTGATCCCAGCCCAGAGGAAAGGGCTTTTGGGCCGCCTTCTGTCCCCCTGCTCCTAGCCCAGAGGAAGAGGATTCCAGGCCACCATCCCTACTGCCACTCCCGGCTCCTGTCCCACCTCTCCCAGCTCAGAGGAGGTGAGCCACGTGGGCGTCAACAGCAGCCCCTGGCCCCCCAGTCGAAATGAGAAAACACATAAATAAGTCTCAAAACCAGACTTCCATATCACCTACAGAAACACCAAAGGGAAATGAGATGGAACACTCTGATACTCAACCACCTGGACCCACTGAACTGGCAACAAAAGGGGATCTGGAAAAAATGAAAT